GCAAGGATGTGAATACAGAGCACAGCCAATAGCCCTCGTTTCGTTTCAGTTGACTGGGAAAGAGTGAATATTAATGGAAAAACTATGATACGAGTACAGAACCTGAATCATGTGAATGGGAAGGCTCTCATTCCCACTGAGAACTCGGGGGAGAGGAAGCATCTTGAGGATAAACTGTACTGGTTATTGTCTCTCTTTGTGATTGGTAAATGCTTATGGCATATGAAAGTGTAACTGTAAATGGCATATGGAAATGTAATTGATAATGGTATACGGAGGAGGAATTGTTAACAGTGTACAGAAGTGTGTTAATGCTGTATGGAAGTGCAAACATAAATGCTGAATGGAAGAGGAATTAGGAATGGAACATGGAATCGTAACTGAGGGTACAAGTAGTGGAATTGTGAGAAACAGAACAACAAAAGCAAAAACCAGCCGAAAGTTTAAAGGAGAACAGTGAGTGAAAATATTCAAGTCTGTGATCTGCTCGAGCCAAAGCAGATCAGTGCCGGCAAGAGAACGCATCCCCGCACTGCTCCTCCCCCCGCTGGTAACCAGAACGCAAACAAAGCGTTAATTGCGAATGGGGACGAAAACAAAGCGCTGCAAGCGAGAATAGGCTTGATCTGCAGAGGTGTAGGAAACTCGGTGTCCCGGTGTCAGCACGGGAAGCCTTAGGAGGAAGGAGCTGAGAGCCGGGCTCTAGGACCCAGAGATCTCCGCAGGAAGAGCTGGGAGGGGGGGCTGGCAGCGTCCAGGAGGGTTCTGCCCTCATTGAACAGAAGAGCAGCTTGTGCCGAAGGCGGCGCTGGATTTGGTAACAGATGCGATAACAGTTAAGGGTGGAGAAAATTCAGCTAAGGAAGGAATGACAGCAAGGTGTGGAATTCGTAGTAAAGCTGAAGGAAAATGTGGTGTTCTTACTGCAGTAAGTGATGAATTTGTAACTGGCAAAATGAGTGTAATAGGAGCAATCTGTTGTTTGTTAACCAAGCTTATCCCTAGGAAACTGCAGTAACCACAGCTTCCAACCACAGACCTCCTGAAACATCAACAAACATAACCTTTAAATGTATGGACCCCAGGACTTACACAGCTCTAAAGATACTGTGCAAGGATCACAAACGGATGCATTGCGAAAGATCCCAGCCCCCATCCGACAAGACAAAGGACGACTCCAGCAA